TTTTACTGAGTCGCATTCATTGGGATTTGAGCGCAGAATGTATGATAAGCTTCACATAAAGCTAAAGATCAGCATGGTACCGATAACAAAAAAGTACAGTGGAGAAAAGATGACAAGGATTTTGAAAAGATAGTTAAAAAAAAGTCTGAAATTACTGAAAGGAAAACGACTGAAACTTTCGTTTCCCTCCGTTCCGGTCGGCTCACTCCCGTTACTGGGTCCCGCGCCACTACTTAGTAGCAGCATACGCCTCTGTGGAGGCCGTTCCGTGCTATTGCTAGACAGTCTCACTAGTCTCCAGGGGTGCGCACCATCTCGGCTTTGACTGACCTCGTTATGTTCACGTTCTAACCCCGACGCGGCTTTGCGCCCCGTCTCAGGCGGCCTCCGGTCAGGGGAGAATACAATGGCATTGGGCTCGGTCGCGACCTGGCCTCTCTCGCCACCTATGGGTAGCTCTGGCCTAGTGCGTTCATCTCCCCTAACGCCTAGGCCTGGTCGTTTGACCAGTTTGCTTCCTAGTCAACGTCTGTAAGTGCACACGTCGAACTCCATCCGTCCTGCCACTCAGGCGGAGTTCGTTGGATCGTGGAGCAATCTCTAGCGTAATGATCCTTCCCTCCACATTTCGAGCAGATTTTTCCTCTACGTCTCGGCAATCCGTTGCGCAGGGGGCAGTTCCTTCCGAAATGCCCCTTTCCAGTGCATTCGTAACAACGAATGCCATCGCTCTCGTCTCTGATACTTCCCTTCCCCTTCGGGATGGACCGCGTTGAGGTATTAGTACTTCTGACGGACCCCAATCGTCGCTTCGGGAGGCTTTCCAATTCCCGTAGGGTGCGCAGCCTCCTCGCACGCCATGCCTGGAGTGGCTCGGCCCAGGCTCTTAGGGCTGCAGCTGCCTCTTCCCAACATTGGAATTTCTTGGTTCCATCATGAGTCAGTTTTTCGCCTATTTCCATTGGCAAGCACGTAAAGAACCACAACACCAGTTCTTCATCCTCTATGATTTCTCCTTGAGTGGCTACTTCAGCAAATCGATCGATGTACTCGTTGTAGTCTCCGCTCCAGTGAATTTTCGCCAGGCGCTTCATCATCTCTTCGCGTGACAGGCAGAACTTCCAGCATAGACTTTCTCTTACGATCTCCCAATTTGACATATCCGTTCGCGAGAATAGCATTTGTCCGTAATAGCTTAGGGCATTGCCTCTCAAGTAGTACTTTAAACGGGATCCCCACTGTTCTTCTGGTACCCCCCTTTCCCGGAATTCCTTTTCGAANTCAAGTAGTACTTTAAACGGGATCCCCACTGTTCTTCTGGTACCCCCCTTTCCCGGAATTCCTTTTCGAACAAACGAAGGAAGGAACTCATGTTGGTCCCATCTTCGGTCGTCACGGCGATGGCTCCGCTTTCTGTGTTGGCTCGGATTTCCTCAGTCGCTTGGCGATGCAACTTCAATAACCCCTCGTTCCTGGCTCCGAATTCGTCCCTCATCTGTCGAAGAAACTCCAATAATTCCACTTTCCATTCGGAAGTTGGTTCCCCGGATTTCCTGGGGTCCCCGGTCTCTTTTGCATCCTGCTCCTGGCTCCTCGCCGGGGTCGAGCTCTTCCTATTCGCAGTTGCCCCGCTCTGCCGACGGGATCTGGTCCTCAACGGCTCAGGAGAGGGTCCCGCAATGTCTGCTGACATTTCCTCGGTTGGCAATTCTGGGAATTCCGTTGTTCTCCGCTGTGAGGTTGCGTACGAATGTCCCCTCGTGTCTTGGGTGCGAAGGTCCCCGTAGGTTCGTGAAATTAGGAATTTTTCCTAATGAGGAAAGGGTTTTGGTTATATTTTTTGAAGGAACTTCGCCTTCCCTTTCCCGGAACGGCCCCCAAATGTAATGCCTGGTCTCATCTCAGTCCCGCGTGCGCAACCCGCTAGAGTGTCGTAGCTCGCAACAGTTTCGAGCAGGATCTACGGTGCTATTCTTTTCTAATAGTTACGTAAACAATATAGTGGACAAATATTAGAGGAAAAATAGTTCACCGAGCCCGATCTTCCCGCCAATCCTTTCGCCGACAACTAGGCAATCAGCCGGCCAGATCCTAGAACNTCACCGAGCCCGATCTTCCCGCCAATCCTTTCGCCGACAACTAGGCAATCAGCCGGCCAGATCCTAGAACCACGGGGCCCGCTTACGTTCCGCACAGCTATCCTCGGCTGACCCCCTTCATTCAACAATTCAGTTAACTAACTTTAAAATTTTAAACTTAATTATAAGTTTTCGTCTCGTTTTTGCCCACTAGGTGTCTACAGCTGCTCATTGTAGTGCCAATGCACTACAACTGACCTATAGGCGAGACGCGTAGCATCTGCTCGGTTTTCCGGCGAAACACGATTTGTTTTGCCCTTAATAATCTGAAACACTTATATTATCCAGGAAAACAGCCTGAAGCTTGCCTAGAAACCTTCTTCGAATTTGAATATCTCGTGTTCCTGCGCAAGTTCTTGTGCGTGCGTGCGTGAGAGCGTCCTACCGGCAGCCGTCCAGCCAGTTATCGTTGGTTTCAGCGCTTATCACGTTCTATACTCGGCCCACAGTTTATGAATATCTGAGCTTGATATATTACTGCTCTGCTTTTCAACTTTATGGGGGCTAAATGCGGCTTCTGTGTTATCGTTGGTTTCAGCGCTTATCACGTTCTATACTCGGCCCATTGTGCAACTCCCGCAGTATCGATATCGTTGGCCACTGAGTACCCAAATGCAGACCGTGAAGAAACTCTTTATATTTATATTGCATTCAAACCCATTGAAGTTTGCATGTATCGCTCAGTATGAACTAGGCTTCATATTTCACTCATCACCACTCCATTCGTGTTCAACTTGTGTNCATGTATCGCTCAGTATGAACTAGGCTTCATATTTCACTCATCACCACTCCATTCGTGTTCAACTTGTGTTCTGTCTACGCCTTGTTGCTATCAGCAGCCTCAACGTAATATAAGCCAAAATGATGTTGAGAAGAGATGTTTTATATAATATGTGCCCCCTCCTATTTCCTTTTACACTTTTTTTCTTGCAAGCTGCTTGGTTCTCTCTCTGCCGCCTGAGTCGGCCACCTTTATATGGCTGCTGGGTTAATAGAGTTGGTAGTGTACCCATCAACATATAGTAGCTGTAAAGGCAACAAAAAAGTAAATAAACAGCAGCTTTATCCCCATCTTCCGGCGCAACACAATTATTTTTGCTCTTAATAATCTGAAACACTTATATTATCCAGGAAAACAGCCTGACGCTTGCCTAGAAACCTTCTTCATACTTGAATATCTCGTGTTCCTGTGCTTGCAGCGCCAGACACACCAACAGAAAACTACTGCGTGCAGCATCGACTTCTCTGCAGCTGAGGGCAGCTGCTATTGCTTTTGTTTTCTTCTTCTTTAAAAAAAAGGGGTTTTTATTATGAGCCCACTTGTAACTCATATTGCTGCTGCTGCAGCTTACTTCTCTTCCTTTTTATTTTGCTGCTGCTGCAGATTTCTCCTCTTTATTCTTGGTGCTGCTGATGCTACAACTTCTTTCTATTTATTTCTCTTTGTTTGGTTGCCTTATATAACAATTGTTTAATTATCAACAAGATAATTACAAATACAGTTTTTCATTTCTACTTTTTTGCTGTGCTCTTAGGTCTATAATAATAGTGCACGTAGTTTGTATGTATGCATATATATATATATATATATATATATTTATATATATATATATATATATATATATATATATATATATATAT